AATCAACTGACTTTCCATTAGACATTAAGCCCAAGACATGTGAAGTATTCAAAAGAGACTAACAAATGCATTTATCATAAAATATTGCAGTTCTTTCCCTGGTACGTTCAAATACAAAACTCTGATCCTCACTTGAGTTTTTCTCCTTCTGTTCACTTGAGGGAAGGTCATTATACTTGCATAAGTTAAAACTATCCATATTTTATGGATATGTACAAAAAAGTCTAACAGAGTCAGCTATTAAAAGCCTGGTGTAGTAGAATACTGCATATGTATAACTAAGGGACAGAGGGAGGGGAGTAGGAAATAATACTCATTTTAAGTTTGCCGAAAGTTTGAAAAAATAAAATTAAAAAATGCCATTTCTACAATATATATTTTAATATATGTAGTATGTTAATATTTGGGACAAAGAGCAGGAACTGAGTTTACTCACTATCCAAAACTCCATTTTCTGTAAGTCATGAAATCTTTCCGCTCCTGTGACTGTTCACCTCAGTCATTAATTGTAACTCTGAAAGCCTCACAAACACATCCTGGAAGTCTAAGGACAATATTGATTAATCCATCATGCCAGTAATGCTACATCTTCACAGTATTTCAGGTTAATTGTGTTGTGCCTTGCATATATTGAAGCCATCTGTTTTAACCATACCCTACTTTTTCAGGTAATGTGTTAGCAAATCTTTTGAAGCAGTTTTCCATGCTTTATCATCACAGTATTAATCTTATTGGTTAGCATTTCCTCTAAAATATTGTTTCCTAGTGACATGAAATATAATGAAACAAAAATATCTACCACCATCTACCCTGAGCTTTATTTCTTTTTATTTTGATATGTTTTCTATATCCTAATTATGAACAGTCACTGTCTCTCACTGGAATCACAGCACATTTCGCCCCACTTTCCTCCCAGAGAGGGTTAGGACAACATTCAAAACATTGCCACATCTGCCTTATTCCTTATTTTAGAGCTCTGAATTTTTCCTATGAGAATGTTCATCACCACTTCACATAATTCAGCAGGTCCGTACCTATAAGTGAGATTAATTAATGCATTTTCGCCCTGCTTGAGTTAGGAGAACTGATCAGTTCAGCTTAAGTAGTTCATGGGCCCTAGGCTGGGTGTCTTTGGAATGCCAAAGCTTTATAATTTTAAATGCTCTGCTGGCCTTACAAACTTCTTGTTCTTAACTTCAAAATCAGCTACCACCATAAAAACAGCTGCTTTGTGCTCAGCAAATACTTTGATTTTCAAACAAACGACACAGACAAAGAAGACACCGAAACTGCTGATTCTTTCTATCAGGCATAAAAAAAAATGTTACATTTTGTTATAAAGTCTTTCATTTTAACAATGAAAGGTTAAAACATGGTATAATTTATATATTTTTTACATTGGCTGAAGTCTGTTGATGGAAATATATCCTTGTCAAACAGAGCAAATAGCCCTTGTGCAACACAGGAGAATTACAGTTTCCTATGTGACCAGCATTGACAGAAGAGCAATTTAACAGGACTTCTTAGCCCTTTGACATGATATCTTTGTCTAACTTCACTTTATTCCTCACCATAGGAAAGCTAAAAATTCAAAGTAGCAACAGCACAGTGCCTGTGGAAGACAATGACATTCATATGTTTGTACACTTTGCTTTCTAATGATGTGGGATAACAGGGTAGGAAGATAAGAAAAGTGGAGGTAGGAGCAGGAATCACAGACAGAATTACCTAAAGGCACTAAAAATCAGACAAAAAGGTAAGGGCAGGAGTGCACATGGTGATTAATTGAACACTGCACAAAAAGCTGCTGCCTTTTTTCATGTGACATGGAGATGGATGCAGACCATGTCATGAAAAGAAAAAAAAGGATGCTTGCAGTAATTATCAGAGCTACTTGTCCTTCATTTATCCATCAACAGGAGAGGAAGTGGCAGTAGAGTTTTAGGTAGGATATCTATTTCCTCTTGAACTAGATCACCCAGCAGAGACAGCACAGGAGCCCACTTCCAAATGAGAAGTCAAATGATTGAAATGAAAGCTAATTGCTGCAGCTCTGGATGACTAAAACATTTTAAAATCCCTTTCCTGAAGTACTGTGCTGCGTAGGTACCACACACACAAACAGTCCTCTATATTTATGTTGCTACAGTACAGGTGGAATTTGATAATAATCTATCTTGGAATGTAAAATATTTGCACTGGAACTGTTAAGCATCTGGAAGCAATGCAGACTACACATTTTTAAAATGTTTCTCATAACAATGGCTATTTGGAGAGGTTAAGTGATTATTTTAAATAAATATGTTCCTAACCTAACACCAAAAGTGTGATTCAGATGATCAAGCAGCAATTTTCAAAACCAGAATTTGATTTCATTATTAAAGCTTGATTTCATTATTAGGTTTACACTGTCTTTAAGTAAAGAGAATAATAAAGAGGGTAAGCACACACTGAAGTACCATAACCTAATTTATAATTTCCTCTTCCATTTCTAGAACGAAGAAAGTTAAGATCAAGCTACCTCAAAGCTCTCAAGCACCCTCCCCAACATGCTTGTGAGGGCAATAATCTAAATTTTTTTAAAGCAATAGTTCCAGGACAACTTTTTTTGCCCTGGAAAACACACAGGTGAGTTATCCATGCACATTGCATCTCCAGGTACACAGGCACTTTTTGCTCATGCATATTCACAGGGAGTGGGTACATGCAAAAGAACATGCACAATTAAACACTTCCCTCCTTCTAGTTTTATCTCTTTCTACCATCCATAGCATATTTCTGGTTGTTTGGTAGATAAGACACCCCTAGTGGCATCTACACCTTGTGAAAGAAGGAAGTTCTGAATGACAAACTCCTCCTACTGTTTTGATTAGGGCTGGTTTAACACAGTAGCTGCCAATATGGAAACATTTAAAAAAAAAATTAACTTTTTTTCAAGTATAACACATATGTAGACCTCCCTGTTTCTATGTTCTCTTCATTTTTAGAACTGTGATATCTCACACAATATCCTTCTGAGCTAAAATGGATCTCAGGTAAAATTCTCAGAAGTATCCGCAGCTCAACTGACTTTAATGAGATATATGGTCTTTGGTGTCAAAAGTGCTTTTGAAAATTCTGCCTTTCAACTTCCCTTTGAATATTATCCTTATTTGAATTAGATTCTGGGAAATTATATCCCAATAGTTTTCCAAGCTTTACCTATCACTGACAACTGTCATAAAAGTCCTTGCCAAATGTCTTAGGATTTCAGGTCGATCCCTCAGTGCCTCCACTCTAGGGACAGACTACTCTGAAGCTGCTCTCAGAGGTCAAACCTCATCCCAGGGAAATTTCACACAGTTACCATTTTGCTCTGAAGCAGAACAGGCTTCAGGGAGGTTCCCAAAGTCCCTTGCAAAGGCAGCAGGGGGAGGCCAATATCACCTCATACAGCAGGATAATAAAAGGCTTTGCTGCTTCTCAGAAATCTCAAAAGAATGACTAAAATATAATTTACCATTTTCCCCATCCCTATTAAGCTGGTAGTGTTTCTGACCATAGAAAACTCCCAATAATTCTTTTATTTTTTAAACCATCTTTTGCTACAGCATGGCTATAAGCAAGTTATTTGAGAAAAAAAATTTGAAAAATACAAACATTTATGAGCAGGCAATAATTTTTCATCTCCAACTCATCATTAATGAACATAATGTTTGCTTTAAAATAGAAATATCATGGCTAGATGGAAGTGCAAACAAATATGATAGCCTTGATAGACTTCAGGTATAGTAAAATTACAAGGAAAACATTCCTTTGTATGCTAATGAACAAAAAAAACCTGCAAGAAGGAGGTAACTCTGTTGACCACAGCGGGTGGATTTGCTCTGAGATGGCAAATAAAGAGGTAAATTATAACAAGGCACCTGGTGTTTGCAAAGCAAATATTTAAATTCTATCTAGCAACACAATACTTGCCTTGAAATATGTAGGCTCTCAGTTTTTCTGGCACCTGGGAGAAGTTGCTTTGTTCACATTTTCAAACTAAGATTGCACAAAACCAGCCAACTACTTCATCCATGTGATTCAATGTAAGTTAAGGTTATAGACAACTTCTGAATTTTATTTGAGGTTTTCTTTCTTTATTTACTCAAGCCAGTAAATAAATAAAAAATCACCTTTGTCCACAATGTAAGAGTGTCTTTGCAGAAAAAGGAGTCTGGGAAGATTGAATACCATAATCCCATCTAATTGTGAAAATGATCACTGCTGAATGCTTTCTGAGGGTAAAAGTGTAATTGGTTATAGACCAAGAAGTAATTTCATTCAAAAGGAACTCAACTCTTCCTGAAAGTAGAGACATTCTCAAATAAAAATCAAACACATTAACAAAGTTCAGACTAATCTAAACAACAAAATTTTATACTGCTCTAGTTATGTTTTTCTCAATTGATCACTTATTTATGACGCCATAAAACTCCACATGCTTTCAATTTTGATTGCTAGTTCCTTGCTTTAAGGCAGCTGAAATTACTTTCTAAGACTTCCTAGCCTGACAGTCTTCCTGCTTAAGATTTACCATCACAAAAGAATGGTGAAATCAGAGGACAAATTCTAATAACAACAAAAAGCGCAGTCAGCTGTGATACACTGCAATTCCACTATTAGATTCCAGATTAAACCCCCCAGGATAAACATACCTTCCTCTGATGCTGCTAAATTCTGTTCCATGTAATTACACTGCAATAAACTGCTCTATCTGTACAGTTAGTATCTCAGTATGATTTTTAATTGAGAAGCTATGAAAAGTAGCACCATGGAAAAAAAAGACAATTTGAGAATGTCTGAGACCCTGTACAACATCACCTGCAATAAACCAGCATCATTTAGCCCATGATTGACCCCAAAATGTTCATTAATTGCCACAACCACACACCAACAAAACAGATTGAAACCCCCACGAACGCAAACACAGGCAAGACAAGGAGAAATCTCACGCGTTTGGTGAGGTGATTACTTACAATATGCAGCTCTAAATAATCTCCAAGGCCAGTAGAGCTGTCCACTCGCACCAGCACAGCCTCTTTTTGTACAGTGCTAAACCCTATTGCCAGTCTGTCTGCTCGAGTGCTCGGCCGGTCGTTGGGAGGCCACGTGTAAGTGATCTGTCCACCACCTTTGCTAAAGATATACGTTGTCCCCGCTGTTAGAGAAAACAAAAAAAAAAAGAAAAAAAAAATAGAAATAAATATAATCAGCCCACTTGCACCGGTGCAAAGCCACGAGGAAATCATACGCCCTACATAAATCAGGTTCTCACGCGGTAAATGGATTCATAGGCTGTATTTCAATGTGAAGAGGTCTTTATCTCTAAAAATTATGCAGCAAGTGAAATATTAGTGGGTTTTATATTGTGCAATCAGCACTGAATATAACTTAATTGCAAATGAAACAACTTGAAATATCATAGCTCTGATTCAGAAACGCATATCTGTTTGGAAGAGTTCTTAAGCTTATGCTTGATAAACATATTTCTATGACAGGGGTAGAACAGGGATGTGTTAAACCAAATGCTTTTCCCAACTGAAATGCTTTTCCCAACTGGACCTATGTGGAAAAATCAAGTAATTCCAGTTGCCTCCTGGCTGACAAAAAAAATGCAACTACTTAGTTAGACAATTAAAATGATGCATGATGGTGGCCAGCAAAGCAAGATGTTAACAAATACATTCAGATAAGACTTTTACAGATCTGAGGTTTATCATCTTGTGACAGATGGGGATAACAAGTGGAAACACACTTTACTTGTCATGTCAGGACAAAGAGATTATTCTACCATCTGAGTAAGCAATGGCTTATTTGCATAATGCTCAATGTACATCTTTCACAAGTGGAAATCTTTACACATTACATCCAGGGTGCACTTACAAAATCTATAATCTGTTTGAAACAAATGTTGTAATCCAAAACCACTTAGCACTCAGGTGCTTAACTTCATCACCAGCATATTTCCTCAGAACTAAAATAGCAGCATATCCGGACATTTTCCATTTAAAACCTGTACCTTAACAGCAGCACAGAGCAGGCAAATTGTGCATGCACTTGATCTTCCATTGGAAAAGTCACTACAAGCTATCTACTCCTTTTCCATGAGGATCGGTCAAAACTTAGGAAGATAGGTTAATTCATTGCAAATACAGGAGTCCAGTTTTATTATCTGTCCTAAACTGTCTCATAGTGTGGCTACTCTCAATTTTATTGCATTTTATTTACTTATATTACATTTTTTCTATTTTTATTAAATTGTTAATGATAGGACAAGTGGGAATACTTTTAAACAAAAAGAGAAAATACTTAGATTAGATACCAAGAAAAAATTCTTCACTCAGAGGGTAGTGAGGCACTGGATCAGGTTGTCAAGAGAATTTGTGGAGAACCCATCCCTGGAAGGCCAGGTTGGGTGGGGCCTTGAGCAACCTGATCTAGTGGGTGACATTCCTGTCCGTGGCATGGGCTTGGAAATGGATAATCCTTTATGTCCCTTCCAACTCTTACTTTTCATAGAATCATGGAAAAGTTTTCCAGTTTATTCCACCCAACGCGCTCACTCCATACTTTCCATGTCCATGTAAGGACACAGCACAAAACAACATAATTCTAACTCTATCAGTTTCTTTCAAGGTTGACCAAAAATGCCGTTATCACATAAAGGAATCTAAAATCCCTTGAACATGTGGACTTTTAAAGCCAAAGCCAAGAAGGACTGAAGGACTGTACACTTACACCACTTGTTCAGCTCCCAGAGGTCTCAAAATCTTACTCTGCTGCTGAGCAAGACTGCTTTGTGTCAGTCATAATGCAAAAAGGAGACACTTGGTCTTTTTGACAAGATCTTAAATATTTATTTCTAACCTCACTTTTCCTTTATGGAATTACATGCCTATTAATTAGGCTTTTTGGCAGTGCCATCACTCTAATAATTTATACACAGTGCATACCACTAAAGTCACTGTAAATCTCATTTTATATTAATACACTTGTGGGATCGTTTCTCTGTGCTTCAGATGGATCTGCTGGCTTTCCTCCTGATGCCAAAATACCAACCAGGATGTATTTCAGGAGAGTTTGTCAATTTCTTCAGCAAAGACAAAGACAATAGCAGGACTGTTATTTAAGATTTCACTTACACTTCAGGTGAAATCAGGTTTTATCTTTATTATAAAAAGAGTTTTGCAAGAGTAATGAAGATTGGGGCTGTGCCAGGGATTGGTAATGGACACAGGCAAAAGGTGTCTGGTTTAGCAATGTGTGTGACAAAGCCCTCCTCCTCCTGCTCTCCCACCCTTGCTTTCCTCCAAGGTCTGAAATGTGCAATAATCTGCTGTGCATCATTAATCTCCAGTTACAGTACATCCTAAAACAAAGACATGTTAGACAGGTAATATCACTGCTGAGAGTCCCCAGGTTCTCCTCTCTGCTGCTACTGTTGACTTCAAATCTCCAACTGATGAGCTGGGACCCTCATGGAGTTTATGTCACTGTGGTGTCTGGAGTGAAAGGATTTGTTCTGTGTTGATGAAAAACAGAGAGCTTGATCCAAAGCTCATTAAAAACAGTGACAGCCTTTCTCTTGACTTCATAAAACATTGTGTCAGGTCATGAATGAGGTTCTTATAAGCAACAAAAATGAGAAGGCTAAGAAAAAACAACTCCTTACACCTCAATGTCACAGATGGAGCTGTTAGAATAGTCCCTAAGATTTAAGTGGCAGTGCATAATTCTCTTTTTGTTGGTTGAAACAGATGTGTTTACCCAATTAAAACCCAAAGAAAAAGCCTGCCAAGCATGGTGGAGTCATACTGAATACAATGACCCAGAAGTAAGTCTTCAGATCTGAACAATGAGAGGCTCTGCTGTTCTTATTCAGAGTGAATCTTTGCTGCATTTTTTTGTTAAGTACTGCCCTTCAAATCAACCAGGGAAGAGCAATTCATTCCATACTGCTGCCGCATTGAAGGCAAGGTCAATGTCAGTGGAGCTGGGTGAATCTAGCTGTAAATCTTAAACTACATAGAATAAACATCAAAGTTAAAAAAAGAGTATCTCTTATTCACAAGAACATGTGGCTTATGGGTTTTTATGAGACAGCTTTCCCTCCTTTATAACTGCCCATTTTGTAGCTCTTGGAAGTAACTGTGTGTCTGGTGAAAGACTAATTAATCCATGCTGATGAATACAGATCTGCCTCTGTCTGAGCTGCATGGGGAGTCACGTTCCTCGAATTTCCTGTATTAATTATGGAAAAAATGGGTCGGAAGCCATTTGAGAATAGATCCTCTGGTGTTTATATTTCAAGAAAGACAAATATAATAATGTAAAATTTATTACGCTGGGATTGATCTCAGCTTATAGCCCGACCTCCTATTAACTATTAAAAGCTAGAAACGGAGCAGTTGTTGGAAACAGCCTTCCTTACTATCAGTTTTGGGGAAACAACAGAGGAAGCCTAATTCACTTGGCTCATAAAGGCTTTTATGCTGTCTGACAAACCTCATAATGTCTCTGCTGCTCTTTCAGAGCATTGTCACGAAACCCCAGCCATCTCCCTTAGCTTGTGGCACTGTGTTGTTCGGGGTTTATCATCTCCAGAGAATTGAAAGCAGCGGAATTATAATGTCAAGAATAGCAATGCCATCAGCACAGTACTTGTAAGCAGGCAACTTTGTAACATGCCAGTTATATCTCTCAGCCACAGAATTTACTGCATAATTCTTTATGCTTCCATGCATCCACACAATGCTTAGGAAAAAGGTCCACACAGCTCTTTGAAATTCTTACCCGTGAAAGCATGGTTCCCATTGTAACAAAACGCCAGTGGTCAAGATACTGTAATGTTTTTTAATGGCCCGGGTCTCTGAAGCCCTGCTTGTTTGCAAAATTCATCTTTATGAAATAGTGCATTCATTTCAGCACAGTCTGGCAGCAACTCAAGGACATCTGCTTACCTCTACAGTATTAAGCAGATAAATATTTTGTTTAGAACCCATTCACTGTATTTATTATTGTTTATGACTGCAAAGCTTTTCAATATTTATTGCTCTGAAGTCACATCTGATGTAGCTTAATAGTTTGCTCAAATCAACAGCTTTCTGCCTTCCCCATGTTCATTCCAATTTTGAGTTTAAGGTATATTGCACTGAAGGGTAATGTACATAATTCCATTTACCCCATATAATGTAAGTAGCATAATGTTTATTTTCAACATTCACATCAGGTTTCAGGTGCTGATGAAGTGAATGCAATGGTTTGATTGAGCTCTGGGCCCTCATAAACCATGATTCCATCACACTCTGTGACTGAAAAACTGAAGACTAAAGCCTGTAAAGTTCAGTAATGAAAACTATTAGCTGCACTTTTGTTAATAGAATAGCAAATTTTAACTATCGTTAAAAATATGATGGGTAATGAGTGCTCAGAAGAAGAAATTACCCAGTAATGTAATTTTCTTCTTTCTGTATCTTATCAGCACTTCATTCTGGGATACAATGTGAACCCCCTAATTCCCATTGGTAACTAATTACTTGCATTGATAAACCTGCTGAATCCAGTGAGACTATTTGTGCAGGCTACTATTAATTACCAAGAATGAAGAATTAATAATATGAAAACATATATACACACAATTGTCCAAGTATCTATATGAAGGCATTAATTATATTTACTATGTTCAGAGGAGCATATAAATCTCCATTAGTACTCATTTTTACATATTCATCTATGTATTTTCAGTCTGCACAAGCTGAAGTTCAGAAAAATACACCAAATTTCTATACATATATTTGTACAGATTTCCTAAGGTAAGTAAAGGAAGGAACGCTTCAAGCCAAAACCATGATATGCCAGGGGAAGAGAGGGAGAGGTGGGGGTTTCAAAATAGTCCACTTGGTGGATTAAAATACAACCTTTCTGTATTACTTCTTCCTAGGCTTTGATATGTTATTAATTATTTACCCAGAAGAGAGAATATATGGCACAGGGTTGAGCTGAGGAGGGGATGGCCATTAGGGTTAACCATGGGAAGGAGACGGAAAGAGTTGCTGGAAGGAGTATTTCAAACTAAAGACCAGATTGAACTGAATGCTTCCTGAAGGCATTCTGATACATTCTCTCCCACTAATCTGATCAGAAGCCTGAATATGGATT